AAGAACAGGGCTTCTCATTTGACAGGAGAGGCACTTTAAAGCCTGGGATGGAAACAAAAAACAAAGTGCAAAGCTCTAGTACGTTCATGCCGGAGAAATACCTGTGTTGAAGAAATGATGTCACTTATATCCCCTCCCGACCTAGGCCTTTTATACGTTCAGAATAACCGTGCTCTGTGTAGCCTTCTTTTATAAACAGCGCAGCCCATAATTTACGCACAATATTTGCAAAGCAATCAGGGGGCCAGTGCTACCTTTAAAACAATGACAGAATAAAATTAAATCACAAACTTCTAAAAAAAAATCAGTTGCCCCTTCTGGCTGCTTAACAAGTGCTGACAATGATCTTTTAGCTTTAGATCTCAAGAGTCACTTAAAGAATTGTATAACTCCCACTTTCCCACATCAACTAGCAAAGTCATTTAGAGCCACTCAAAGCAAACCGTTCCACGCGCCCCCTGCTGGTTCCACAGTAGCACTGCTCCAATAAAACCCCACAGGATTTCATTAGGGATGTTCATGCAAGAGTGATATGTCAGAATCCAAAATGAGAACATTTGCATATAGTAGGCCCAGCCAGTAAGGGAATAGGTTAATTAGCCCAAGGCAGCTCGAGGGAAGAAAAAGCAGCAGCATAAAAGTCCTTTCAAAGCCAAGCAAAATGTCAAACACATTCAGAAGAGGTCCATTAGCAATGCAAATGTAAAATTGCCCGTACAACCGAATGCACAATACCCCAAACCAGAAACCCCCTCTGAAGGTACTTCTTAAAGAGCCCGGCTTTAGTGAATCTGAAAAGGAATGCTGACTTGGTGCTCAGTAGTGCCTTAGTTTATTTATAGTGTTTATTTGACAGACACTGGCTTAGCTGGCCCTAAAGATCTCTGTACAGACTCCAGGGCTGGTCTTCTGCTAATGGACCACCGGGACATATTGGCCTTAATGCACGGATTCAAATTTATTCTTCTGAAAAGCGAGCCATTGATAAATGTCTTTTGCAGATAATACTAATGATAAATCAAGGATCCAGAGATTACCACGGGAGCTGGAGCGACCTAGAGCCAGACTGATACAAATTTCAACCCATCCTCCTCCTCCATTTAGAATTTAGAATGTCTCCTATTTGCCACTGCAGCTTGGAGGAGACGGGGCTCTCCAATTCCGGGACATGTGTCCCATCTCCGTGCCCACTAGCTCTGTCCTATCTGAAGCTGCCATCAGGAAGCACTGCGAGGGGAGGGATTGAGTCTTGCTGTACTTTCAGAGAACCACTAGAGGGCGCCACAGTTTGCCACCAGGTCCCCGGTAACGGGATTTGGTTCTTCGTGGAATTGAAAGAATGGAGGGGTATCGCTTCTCGGCCTTTTGGCTAAGATCAAGTGAAAGAATGGAGGGGTATATAACGTGAAGGTGGACAAAGCAGAGAGAGGAAAAGGAAGGGAGAGAGAAAGAGATTTAAAAAAAAAAAGAGAAAAAGAGAAAAAAAGGAGAGTGGAATTTTTGCCTTGTAGGGTCTTTTTCTAGCTGCAGACAAATGGCCTCTGTGTCCCTAACCACCTTCTTGGGGCTGAAACACAATAGTTTAGCTGGGCCCCTGGGGGGGCTCACTTCTGGATGAACAACAGAAAGATTTCTTCACGACATGAGGCCACACACTATTTTCTAAACGCTAAGTTCCCAAAGAACCATATATACACATCCTATTGTTCAAGCATTATTATTAAGAAAGTTACTGGATGAATCGAGACAAAGTTATTAAGGGTTTAACCACATACGGTTTGCCTGAGAATCTCGGCTCTGAATGCACTTATCTTAAGCATCTTTATTTTTATTTTTTTTTTTTCAACGTTTATTTATTTTGGGGACAGAGAGAGACAGAGCTTGAACGGGGGAGGGTCAGAGAGAGAGGGAGACACAGAATCGGAAACAGGCTCCAGGCTCTGAGCCATCAGCCCAGAGCCCGATGCGGGGCTCGAACTCACGGAGCGCGAGATCGTGACCTGGCTGAAGTCGGACGCTTAACCGACTGCGCCACCCAGGCGCCCCTCTTAAGCATCTTTATATCTACATTTTAACTTATTGCCCTATTCGTATTTTATCGTTTAACTCAGTGTAATAAGGCTTTGCTCTCCAGAGTGCAGGCCTCAAACCAGCAACACCAGTAGCCCCGACAGCTTTAGACATGTAGGACCCCAGGCCCCACCCAGCCCTCCTGACTTAGAATCTGCATTTTAACAAGATTGCCAGATGATTCATATGCACAGGAAGGTTTCAGAAACTCAGGTATGAGATTAAATTTTCTAATCATAAGCTTCTAAGCAAATTAAACTTCTCTAGCCTCTCTTTCTGATGAAGGGGGTGTTGAGAAAGCAAACGCAGACTGGATGGAGCCTTGGCGATAAGCAGCTAATATTTAGGAAATATGCCGGTGTTTATTTGGGGGTCACCGAGACTCAATAGAGTTCTAAGTAACAAAGGCTCCTTTTCTTCCTGTTCTTTGTGTCTTCACAAAATATATGGAAACGCACTTTAAAAAAAGCTGTTATCATCAATTTTGTATGAGACTCAATCATCAAGACGCAAAACAAAGTTTAACAAAAGAAGCCCCACACTTACATCTTCGCTATAATTCAAAAAAACTTCCCCCATTACGGTCTTTCAGAAATGATAGGAAAATGAGATGCGTCTGAGCTGGAGGATTGTGGGAATGTGTCCCCATGGAGTCCAAGTCCTGTAAATAACAACTGCTTTCAACGGGAGCCACTCCTAGGAGTTGGATACATACAGTCCTAAAACTGCTCTCCCAGGTCATGGCTGTAAACGGAACTGCTCTGCCCGGCACACCCAACTGTGTGAGTTTCCGAGCCTGAGCGGACCCCATGGCTGTGGGACACGCACGTCTGTGCACGAGAGAGGCACGAACTGATGAATCTGGGTCAGTTCTGGAAAAACTGCGGGACCATTTAGGAGACAGAACGCCTGGCCATGACAGGGGAGGTCACCGGGGCTCCGCCAGGATTCTCGAAGTCCTGGCTTGCCAGTGTCCTTTCTGTTCACTCCACACAGTTCTTCATTCAGGTTAACTATGAAAAGCAGGCCTAACTCTGTCATCCGTGGGGCTTCCAGGATGGAGAGAGGTGAGGGTGGGATGACCGCACAATTAGCTACCTTCACAGTGGATGGGACAAGCGTGCCCCGAGGGAAGTGGGTCACAGATTCATTCATCAGAGACTCACCTTAGTTCAAACATGGACAGTGGGCTCTAACTGTTTAGTGTCAGTGTGGAGCAAATGGTATGCCAGAACTCTATTTTTAGTTCTATTCTGCCCAACATTTTATTAGCGTTAAAAAAATCGTCTTCAGAGGGAACAGAAAGCTAGAAGAGACGTTTTCTAGATTATTGCGATTAATATTCAGATACAGGTATCCTCCACTTTGTCAAAGTTTGCCTTACGCTTGGCTTTTACTAACGACCTACGTTAGCACCTGCTTTTGCAAACCAAAAGCATTCCAAAGAGGATTTTGCTTTTGCAAAAAAGGCGAAAAGCAAAAAAAAAAAAAAAAAACAAAAAACAAAAAACCCACAAAAAACAAAAAAACCCCAGCGTTCAGCACCTGTCTTGCCGTGAGCTGTTGTCGAGGCAGCGCGCACCCTGAACAGCGTGAGTAGCGCCACCAAGCGCCTTTCTGGGGAACTACACCCAGCCTCTCAGCATCCAGCGGCCATAGTTTGAACTGTGTTCTTTGAGCATCTGGGCTTTATCGGGATTTACTTGGTGCATCTGTTAGCAAGATGTGTCCTAAGGTACCAGAAAAGCCTAAGAGAGGTTATTTTGGGGGGTCTGGGAATGCTACAACGTTCTCCAGGTAAATTAATGGTAATTACTTCTTCGCTTAATGCCATTTGGGTTTACAAGAGTTTTCATAGGAACACTCTGCTTTCCAACAGCGGGAGGGGAACCTATACATCCTCAGAAGCTGGGAGCGATGGCACAAAACCAAGAAAATTAAGACTGCTGAGAATAAATGTAAATGCTTGCCCTCAGTTTCAACAGCTCAATTCATTCGGTAGCAGGGGCTGCTCTCTCGATGTGGCCTCAGATTGGTTCAAATGAAGGAGCCTAGCGATTTTTTGTTTGACCATACATTTCATATGAACCAACAGTTTGGTGTGGTGCCTGCAAGGCTGGAGTGATTCTAAGCTTCACTGATAACGCAACGTTCAGAATAAAAGGGATAAATCCTGCAACATCATATTTTGGTAAAAGTACAGTCCAAGTACTGAGGCAGGGGGTCAGGGCACAACGAAGTGGGTCCAGGGTGGACCGACTGGGTTATTGAGAGGTCTGGACACAAGGCAGGCAAGTAACAGCGGAGGCAGCTGAGGATATATGGCCTGGGGAAGCACGGGAGAAATCGGAACATAAGAGCAATGCTCAGTCTCTACGGGGCTGTCCCCGGAAGGCAGGAGCACAGAACTCAGCCCCAGATTACTTGAGTAGGTACAGTGAAAATCAGCAAGTAGTTAGAACTGTTAAGAATAGGTTGGGCAGCCTAATGAGGCGGGGATCCCTGTGTCGCCCCAAGGGTTGAGACTGAGTTTGGAGACTGATGGTCCCAGATAAGTGGAGGAGACCCCTGTCCTGCCCAGGTGCTCATGCTCCCTAGTTTTATATATTTTTTTCATTACAAAGATTTTGAGACCGTGATTTCACCCGTGTCAAGCTGGCTTGCTCATAAGCCTAGCCTACCTTCCAACTTTCTTTTTGCTGTGTCCTCAGTGCAGAGTGATTATATGCTCTCTCTGCTCTGCCTAGCATAGAGCTTCACGGCGCAGGCCTCCTGCTCCAAAATGAGGTGGCTTCTGAAGAGAACGAAGGGTCCACTCCAGGTCCCTTTAGGCCACAGGCCACTGGAGAGGTGAGCACAACTTTGCAGAAGAGGCCGCTAGCTATACCCCCACACACGCGGGCCCTCCTTCTCTCCTCTGCCTCTTGTGACGCGGACCTTGCCCTTCACAGAAGTGCAGAGAGCGCGAAGAGAAACACCAAAGAATAACAGCTTACCATCCGCAATCTACATAAGTGCTTGAGGACATAAGGAAAAGGTACATGGGTACCTTAATTTGTACCACTAACAAGATAGGGCAGTGGACTGAACGGAGGACCCCCAAAAGGTATGGCCATCTGGACGTGATGAGTGTGACTTTATTTGGAATAAAAGGGAATGTGTTTCAGGATCTTGGGATGAGATGATGACAGATTGTCCAGGTGAGCCCTCCATCCAATGACAAGTCTCCTTGTAAGAGAAAGGCAGAAAAAGATTTAAGACACACGGACACCATATGAAGACGGGAGGAGAGACAATGGGGTTTTACGGCCCGAAGCCAAGGAACACTTGAAGCCCCCTGCAGCCAGAGAGGTCAAGGACAGATCCTCCCTAAGAGCCTCTGGTGGGAGCAGCGTCCTGTCAACACCTTGATTTCAGACATCTGGCCCCCAAAATTGTGCGATGAATTTCTCCCGTTTTATAAGCCCCCACGTTTGTGGTAATTTGTTAGGCAGCCCTAGGACATTAACACGAATGGCTTCCATTTATCCATCATCTAACATAGGCCAATAACTCGACTTAAGCATCTTACTTACCCCTTGCAACAAACTCTTTTTAAAACATTTTTTTTTAACATTTATTCATTTTTGAGAGGGAGAGAGACAGAGCACAAGTGGGGGAGGGGCAGAGAAAGACGGATTCACAGAATCCGAAGCAGGCTCCAGGCTCTGAGCTGTCAGCACAGAGCCCGACGCGGGGCTCGAACTCATGGACTGAGAGATCGTGACCTGAGCTGAGGTCGGACGCCCGACCGACTGAGCCACCTAGGCGTCCCTACAATCTCTTGAGGTTTGTATTTTCATCTCTAGTTTTTCAGCGGGGGACACAGGCTTGGTTAAGGCCTCACAGTCAGGAGAAGCCAGCACTGGAAACCACTTTTTTATTCTTTCCAACCATGATGTTGGGCAGACTGATGTACGGGGTTGCACCATGGTGATGGGAACCGGATGGCAAAGCTTCCACGTGGCAAAGACAGGATGCACAGGGACGAGAGGGGGAAAGACGGCCACGGAGCCTGGGCACGGAAGCCGGCGCTAATCACGGACTGCAGCTGACCACATGGGGTCAGCTCAGTGCCACGGGCTGGGGTGACTAAGGAGGAGAGATCTGGATCTTGTCACCTCACAGGTGAGCCGGGGACCCGCAGCACCACCCGGCTCCCTGCTCAATGCCACCCACCATTCTGATCTGGATCATAGTAGAACTGAGACCCCCGAGACAACATCCTGCGTGGCTCAGAATCGTGGACACGAACACCCTCTCTCCCCGTCTAGTGCCACAAAAAGTAAGTTCAGGTCTGCACTCCAGGTGCACGTGTCCTCCCCCTCAGTGGCCACATTGCGTACGACAGGGCGGCTCCCTCCGAGGCAGTGCCTGGCTGTGGAGACAGGGATGTGCCCCATCGGATGGGATTTTAGTAGGATAAGGAAACGGTCCAGCTCTCCATATTAGCAGCACCGTGAAGAATAGTCTGGGGGGCTCTGCTCACGTATAGGTTTTTTTGGCAACGACGCGGCCCCATTTGGGTGCCCCCTGGCTGGGGCCACATCTAAAGACTAGGAGTCTTTCCTCCGATTGAAAGCCCTGACCGAGATGTTGGAGGGGAATCCTCAAGACGCAGGGCCGCTCTGGCTGTTCTTCTCCTACTGAAGTCCTCCGCCCGGCAAGTAGCTAAACCACCGTGTCCCTTGTCCCTAAGTGGGGCTCCGCTATTTCCTACTGCTGTCAGCAACACGGAGGGACGGCCTTCACCAAGCTTAGGCGAAAGCTTTTCTCAGATTCCTGGCTTCTGCCATTACTGCCCTTGGCCAACACGAGGACAGTGAGACCAGACGGTGTTTTTAGTGGGTTCTGCCTCCCTGTGGAAACATGAGGGGATCTGCCACGCGGGTGGGGTCCACCGCGTGGGGACATGGCGCATGTTCACGCACTGGAGGACAGGATGTGCAAAAGAGTAGGGGGAGAGGGGCGAGGCCGGCAGCTGGGCCGTGCTGTCCCTGGAAGTCGGCTCATGTGGAATGTCACTGCCGCATCTGGGTAGCCAGAGACCTCTGGCAGCCTGCCCACGCTGGGATTCCTGGAAAGGCTCAAGACGGAAAAATAATCACTTGGAGGGATAACCATCTGGGTTGAAACTGGTCCCAAATGAATTGTCCAACAGAGTTTGAGTTTTTAAGAAAAGCTGGAAATGCCTTTCTGTCACGACCTTCCCCGGCTCAATACATAAGCAAATACCTTTCTGCTTTAAAGTGTCCCGTGTGCCAGACTAGCCACCCTGGGACACCCAAGTCTCTGTTTATTCACTACTCTGGCTGAAGGCTGGGGACAGTCAGATGCACGGGCACTTGCCGGCACTCTGCACTTGGTGGTTCTCGCCTAGCCCTAGAGTGACCTGCTCGGAGAGCAGCGGTGCTTGGCCCCTCTGTGGTCTCAACCCGGGGACGGCTGTGACAGGTGCAGATAAACACAGTTAGAGTCGGGGCTGGAAGGACAAGAATGTGCATTTTTTTTAAGAAGAAGAAGAAGAAGAAGAAGAAGGAGGAGGAGGAGGAGGAGGAGGAGGGAAATCATGAATTTGGAGAGACTATGTGAAATCGACAAATATTCTGTTTTCTGCAATCAAGTTGGCTAGGCATTTAAATGTTTACTCATTTTTGAGAGAGCACGAGTGGGGGAGGGGCAGCAGGAGGGGGACGGGATCCGAGGCGGGCTCTGTGCTGACAGCAGCAAGCCCGATACAGGGCTCGAACTCACGAACCGCGAGATCAAGACCTGAGCCGAAGGTGGACGCTCAGCCGACTGAGTCACCCAGACGCCCCTCATTTTTTGACTCTCAATTTAATGTTCTTAGCCCTCCAGGGGTATAGCTCAGTACAGAATTCACACGGTGCCCACATCCATTGGCATACCTGGAATATCAGGATACGGATTAACATTATTATGGAACTACCGACAGGAAGGTAACACATCCACATTATTATTACTCCTACTAAGAAGGACAGAGATAATAAGAAGAATAAGCTATGGGCGGTAGACTGTAGGTTCTAAACCCGGCTTCACCCCTAAGTGCCTATGTAACATGTTTTCTCTTTCAACGTAATCTTTATCTTACTCAAATTATACATGTGCCCAGTGTAGGGAGGCGGGTGTTTCAACAGTGTGTGATGCTGTAATTAATATCTCTGCCAATTAAATGGGCACATGCACAGTGCTTGGCAGAATGCACACCCTCAATAAATGGTAGCCATCGTCATTATAATTCAGCAAATGCTTTCTTGTCAGTTCCCAGTTCTTTCCCACACTTGTCTGCTGCTAATCGCTCCTGCTTCCACACTCAAATCCAATAGAGGACCTTCCAACTAGCAATCCTTTCAAACATCTGGGGTTTCTTCCCTCATGCTGTGATTTATACAAAAGAGAAAGTCACGGATAACTGACAATTTGTTTTCTTTCTTCAGTTGATCAAGGGAATGATAATCGGTCCCAATGCACAGGCCCTCCTTCACACCAAAGAGCGTGCAAGCAACTCAACATATACAAGTAGAATAAACACAAAGGGGGTTTGCTAACCTCAAGCTATAGGCATTTCCTGGTAAAGGGTAAGTGTATGGGTTCCTTCTTCCACTCCGCCTGCTTTTCCACAATACTTCTTGGATGAGTAATCCCCAAAAGGCGTGGTGGGGAAATGCAGAATCTTTTTCCACATCCCACAGGAAGGCTGCCAGCTGTCTCCTTGCACACACTCTCCTAAGTTTTGCTACATGGCACAAAGGAAAGCACCAGAAGTCGCTAGAGGAGGCTTCGATTCTACCAGGCGCCAGGGGCTGGATCTCTGGGAGATCAGATGGTCCAAGTGTATGAACAGAGAATGTGAAAATCCCCATCAAGTCAGAAAAATGCCTTTCTGCGACTAAGGCATTCTAAGAGGGTCTCAAAGCATTCATTGCCCTTGATGTGGCTGGATGAAAGGGAAGTGGAAACCCCTGGATAATCCATAAACTAACAAAGCATTCCTCCAGGGTAGTAAATGTTGGTTTCCCTTCTACGGTTGTTTTCCAGTCTTTGGGATACTGTACAATCTTTCAGTCTTCTCGACTGCAAAGGCCCTGAGACGTCCTGGGACCCAGCCTCCCCAAGGCAAAGCAGGCACGACACAGGTCACTGAGTCTGCCTTTGTATAAGGCTACAGGAAAGCTTTACACACAAGCAACAACCAGTGTATGATCATCCTGTTGTAAAGACAAGGGTGTGATACTCAGGGTGTAAGCGATTTGCCTAAGGCTACGTGGCTCATAAATGGCAGAAATAAGATGAAAATCTTGGTGTATCTATACACAAACCTGGGTTCCAACTCTTGGATTGTGAGTGGATCTGCTGGTATGTAGTGCAGGACTAACCTTACTCAAAGACAGGTCTGGCCTCAGCTACCAGGCTTCTGGGATGTCCTGCCCGATAGGAGCATGTGTGTTTCCCTGGGGCGCGGGGCGGGGGGAAGGCTGGCCTCCAGACAGCCTAACCTTGTGACTTAGGATGGGGGCTTTGGGCCGTGCAGTATCATTCCAACATCTGGAGGAACAAACCATTAAAGGTATTCACCCCACCTCCAGGAGGGGCTGGAGACAAAGAGCAGCCATGTGGATGGTATGTGATTCAACTCCAATAAAAACTCTAGACACCAAGACTTGAGTGAACTTCCCTGGGGGCACTATTCCATGGGTACACACTGTGAACAGGGGAGGTTAACACCCTCTAGCTCCATGGGGAGAAACTCAGAATCTTTGGGCCCCTCCGGAGTCTGCCCTATATGCCTCTTCCCTTGGCTGATTTCAGTCTGTATCCTTTCTCTGTGGTCATCTGTAACTGTGAGTAAAACAGCTTCCCGTGAGTTTTGTGAGTGCTTCTAGTGAATTATGGAACCTGAGAGTGGTTTGGGGAACCACCCTCTTCCAGAGTTGTAACTGGTGTCAGAATCGAGGGAAGTCTTGTGGGAACTGTTCTGACTTTCTATTTGGCCCATAAACTCCTTCTTATACTTCGTGACGATTATACACGTAAGAGAAACAGATCAAGTAATAGACATAATAAATGAAGTCCACCGGGGCTCATGGGTGAGAACAAATCATTAACCAAAGATTAGATCCGTCCAAATCTAACAGTGGCCAGGCAAATGAGTGGAACAGAAAGGTAGGTGCTCCTACCTACATGCTACCCAGCATCATCCAATCTGGGCCAGGGCCCAGTCAAGAAAGCCTCCCCACGGCAGTTACCCAACGGCACACGCACGTAAGAGGATTGAGTGGTTCAAGGTTTTTAGGTCCAGAGTCGGAAGTATTGGAGCAATGGGGGAAACCCATCAGCTAACTCACCGGTGTCTCAGTCTTCCCAGTCTGCTGAATGAACTGACTTACTGGACATCTCCCATGGCCACCGGGTATCGACCATCCCACCAGACCAAGTGGAGGGCTGGGCCCCATCACCTGGCTCTCCAGATTGTTGACGAAGCGCTTCTGATAGAACACAAAGGAAGTCATGCCTGTGCCTGGGACAGTACTGTTTCACTGTGTTCTTGGTTCTGTGTGCAATAACAGGTATCCCAGAGGCAGCAACTGTGGGCTGGGACAAGACATCCGGGAGCCTTGGTCTCAGGGCCTTACTCGCTGCACCTGCAGATCAAGAAGTCAACCCTCGCTGCACATTAGACTCACCCAGGTTGCTTTCAAAAACAATACCAACGTCCCGACTCACTCTAGACAGCTAAATCAGAATGCGCCTAGACCGCTGGGGCCAGCATTGGCATTTTCAAAGATGCACCAGGGGCTTCTAACATGCAGCCAGAGGTGAGATCAGACATACGATCTTCGTTCCATGCTAAGTCCACTCCTTGGCAGAATGCCTCCACGATGCTTAAAGACAGCCTCCGATCGTCTACCCCCCTCCACTAACATAAAAACGATGTTCTCACCTCCTTTGACTGCGTTTTGAAATTACATGTCTACAGTGAGACGCTACCACATACCCATTAGAACAGCCATGACTTAAACAAAAGGGAAACAACAAGCTTTGGAGAAGACACGGAGAAACCGGGACCCTCGTGCCTCGCTGGTGGGACTGCCTGTAACGTGGTGCGGCTGCTGTGGAAAACTCTGGTGGTTCCTCGCGAAGTTAAATGTAGAATCATCATGTGACCCAGCAAGTCTACTTGGAGGTGCACACCCAAAGGAACTGAGAGCGGAGACTCGAATGATGCTTTATGCCAGCGTGCATAGCAGCATCCTTCCCAGTAGACAAAAGGTAGAGATGTCTAGAATGTCCATCCACAGAGACACGGATACACAAAATGTGGCATGGCCGTACAACGGACGATTTCTTACTCAGGCTTCAAAGGGAAGGGAATTCTGATCCGTGCTACGAGATGGGTGGATCTGGAGCCACCGTGCTCAGCGAAAGAAGCCTGATGCAGAAGGACAGATAGTGTATAATTCTCCTTATAGGAGGGACTTAGAACAGGCACATGCACAGCGACGGAAAGTAGAACTGAGGTTACCAGGGTGGGAGAAGGGGAGGGGAGCTGCTGTTCCGCACGTATACAGAGTTGGTCCGGGATGACGACGAAGTTCTGGAGACGGAGAGCGGTGATGGTTGCTTGAAAACGCGAACGTGCCTCGTGTCGCCGAAATGCTTAGAAGTGGTTAAAATGGGGGGTTTTATGTCATGTATATTTTATCACAATAAAAGAGAATTTTTCAAAATTACGAGTCACGGTCTTAAAAAGTCTGAAGCTTCAAGCGCAGTTTCGTTTTTCAACTTGGCAGGCCCCTGCCCCCTAGTGCTGCCTGGAGGCCCATGGCTGGCAAAAATACCTTCTAGAAGCAGCCTGCTTTCCCTGGCCGGACGTCAGGGCCTCTTTCAAAGCCCTCCACGTGGTAATGCACTTTTCCACAGCCCCAACGGCAACTATGAGTGAGAAAAAGTTAAGGAGCATCAATTTCGGGGGGCATCGCCCCCCCGAGCTCCCTACCCTGCCGTTGCTGGCTCAGGACGGCGGGCCGGCTGGCATCCTCACCCCCTACGTCCCCCCTGTACTTTATCGCCCGGGTATGTCAGCCCCACCCTCTGCATCAGGGACACCGAGCCGTGGTGAAGGGCCGCTGAGTAAATATTTTCAGCTCTGTGGGCCATGCGGTCTCCGGCACAACTCGACCCTTTGCTGTAGCGCGAAAGCGCGGCGGATCATACGTACGTGAGCGGGCGCAGCTGCGTCCCGTTCCAACCCTCAAACTTGCCTGGCTCCAGGCCTTTGGGGATGCGTCCTCCATCTGCTCGGAGCTGCTCCCACGCCAGCCACTCCCCCTCCGCAGGGCACCCTGCTGGCTGTCTCCTAATCCGGTGGTGCCCACATCGCGAGTGCCCAGACGGCCCAGATGCCAGTGGCCTGGGAACCATACTTCGAGAACCACTGTCCTCCGTTATCTTTCACGTGTCTCTTTACACATCACTTACCGTAGGTTCTTCCCACCCCCAGCCCGTATCCTGTGCCTCTCCTTAGTGTCCTTTTATGTGCTGCCCCATGTTACCAGAAACACGCGGTCCGACAGCTGTCTGCTTGGCTACCTCCCCGGCGGGCCCCTAGGCTGCCACCGGCCACCCCCTCCACGCCTTTGACCATAGCAGACACCCTGTGACTTTCTTCGGTAAACATTCCTGAAATCTCAGCAAAGCCACGTAAGACCACACCGCAGTCTTGTCCATCTTCTTCTCTAAGGTTTACCAATACTTACGTAACTACCACAGTCTCTTTATTTTTTAAGTTTATTTACTTGTTTTGAGAGAGAGTGTGAGTGTGTGTGTGTGTGTGTGTGTGTGTGTGTGTGAGCAAGGGAGGGGCAGAGAGAGTGGAAGCGAGAGAGCAAGGGAGAGGGAGAGGGAGAATCCCAAGCAGGCTCCGTACTGTCAGTGCAGAGTCCAAGTTGGGGCTCGATCTCACGAACCCTAACTATTGAAGTCTTTTTTTTTTAAGTTCATTTATTTTGAGAGAGAGAGAGTGTGTGGGGGAGCAAAGGAGGGGCAGAGAGAGAGAGGGGGAGAGACAGAAATCCCAAGCAGGCTCTGCACTGTCAGCACATAGCCCAGTGAGGTGCTTGAATCCATGAACCATGAGATCAAGACCTGAGCCGAAATCAGGAGTTAGAGGCTTAACCGACTGAGCCACCCGGGCGCCCCATAACTACCATAGTCTTACTCTGGGGCACTCACTGCACTTTTAAACTTGTTTTCATGCATCCTCCTCGTTACATTGCAAACCTCCCCCCCCGCCGGCCCCGTGCTGGGCCCAGATTGCAATTTCATACCCTCGACCTTCTAGGGTTGCTGTCCTGTCTTGGTTGGTTCATCGTTCTCATGCTCTGTCAGTCTACTGCTGTTTGGTCTTTCCTACAAGTTGGCTACCGAGAGGCAAAACGTTTCCGGATCTTTTCTCCTAGGTTTTCGGATGTAACGACACAGCGTTGGATCAAAAATTGAACTCATGACAGAGAACATAAAATACTGTGCATCTGAAAAGCATCTGCACGCAGAGATTCCATTGCAAACACAAATTCTCGTGTGAGATTATTAACCTCCGATCCTTCCTGTGGCAGGAAGTACAAGCATGCCATGTGAGATGTTGTTAAAGATGTGCTGCTAGATGAGAAGGCCTCTGAAAATCCACATCCAATTATCCAAAACCATGTCCAGATTGTCCTACCATCAATTCCAAGGAAATGCTTCTGGTAGTCTTTGGATTTACTGGAAGGCATACGTATTTACAAAGACAACCATTTTATTGAAACCAGCCTAAAGCAAGCAGAGTAAAGGACAGGGAGACAAGCTGTAAATCAGCCAAGATAAGAATTTTCTCTGAAACAAAATGTTTGTTTTAAAATGAGGGGTATGACTCACGCTCCGTGAATGGGTGGCTGGGTTCTGACCCTCCAAAGATGAATTGTTCATTTTGAAAAAAGCAGAGCGAGCGGGAAACCCACTTTCTCCCTTCCTTTATCTCAGAATGAGGCTGAAGAGTGGGGCCCCAGATGTCCGAGTCGCGTCCAGTGACCAGCAAAATGCACCATGGGCTGACTGGCTACCTGCAGCTGTTTTCAATCAAAAAGCTGAATAATTACTGCAGCCTCTCCTGGGGCTCCCGTGCGGCCAGCACGAAGCTGGTGGAGCAGTGAGGACGCTGAATGAACTGCCAGAAACCCTACAGAATTCAGCTGCCAAACTCCTCCCCCTCCCCCTGGCTCAGCGTCATGAACTTAATCAGGTATTCATTCAATAACAGTTTTTTACGCTCTCCCCGGAAGGATGCCAGCGCCCTCTAAAGCGAGGCCCAGCGTCAAATCGACGGCATTTGGCAGGAAGAGGTCAGGGGCAGTGTTAGGTTCTTTTATTTAACTTAGGGCCTGGGAACAAGGGAATCACCCTTCTCCGCAGTACCTCTTGGACGTGCGGCGAAGGAGACGTTACGACGAAAAGCTGGTCAAAGAGAAGAAATGCTCTGCCTATCCTACGATGGTTTCTAGTTGTCCTTGCCGGGCCATCAACACATGGTGGGACCGTGGCGTCGCACAGATCTAGGCTCGACTTCCGGCTTTTGACATTTGGTCATTGGTGACTTTAGGGGAGCTGTTCAACTTTCTAAGCTTTGATTTCCTCTTTAAGAACATGGAGATAATAATAAACCCTATCTCGCAGAGTTATTATGGAAGTGCGTGGGGGGCATGTGGTCAGTTCTTAGCCGACGGGCTGGAGTATCTCGAAATAAGTTACCTCTAGCAATGCCCAGCTTTCCAGCATCAGATGACCTCCTCCTGGGGACTTGAGGGCACAGGCGTGGGATCCTAACTGCCACACTTATAATTCTGATTCCATTACCCGCCAGCTGTGTTTCTGTCCCTCCATCTCTAAGGTAGGAATAATGCCAACATTCACCTCATAGGCTTGCTGTGAGTTCACCCACGGAAAGAACCTAATTCAGGGCCTGACATGTCGCAAGAACTATAAATGTTGGCTGTTGATGTTACGATTATCTCTTGAGAAGGGCCTCCTTTACTCGGGTCACATTTTCATGCGGTTTACAAAACTACTTTCCTCTCTTGAGTTCTTTCCCCGGTTACTTTGTGAATCACATGCACCCGTCGATTCCGGCAAAGATGTCAGGTAAAACCATCTCTAATTAAAAGGTGCCTCGCCTCACCTCCGTTAACGAGGGATTTTAAGTGTGAGCGTTTCAGAAAGTTTACTAACTCTCTAAAATTGTCTTCTAGGAAATAACCCCTGCTGGTGCCCTGATAAGTTTTTCTCCTTAACTGGACCAAAGCCTTGTCTGCAAAACAAATGGTCAATGACATCGACATTCCAAAATAAAATCCAAATGCACTCATGTTTTAAATTTGGGCTGTTGTGTCTTATTTTATGCCTTTTATTCCTGCAGTATAAATAGAAGCTTTGGGGCTTCTTTGAACATAGAGCACAGGACACTCTTTAGGCACAA